GGGCCATGGGTGCATATCTATTTTTTGTTTTTTATTTGCCCAGTCTCTTTTTTTGACATACAACAAAACTAACTAGAGCAAACCTAAGCCAACACCGACATTTATTATAAGGGCCTATCAATGTCTCCTAGGGGCTAAGGGCAGGAATTTGAGGAGGGGCTCAGGAAATCCTGGAATCAGTGGCTGGAAAGTCACTGGGTTTCACTGTCTCTGTCTCTTGTCTCTGATTCTCATTGGGCATCTGCTTCATTCTTTTTCTATGCAGACTGGTTTTCTCTGCTTTCCTGGACCTCATGGAAGAACATCATAGACCCACAGCTATTAAGTTCGCATGTCATGTGTCCAGCTCCCCAAAGAGATGAGCCTGCTGTCTCTCAGTCCTAACACAAGAGATGGAACCTAACTGGTCCGCTTAGTCAGACACCCACTACAATCCAACCAGCCAGAAATCATGTTGTTCAAATGTGGCCACAGGGCCTACTCTCCTGCTATGGATTAGATGGGGCAGTTCCGAGAGAAGCAAGGGGAGGAACACAACCTAATAAGTGTCTACTCTTTACTCACTCATTCATTCAGCAAATATTTATCATATGTCCAGACACTGTTTTAGTTGTTAAGGACACTACAGGGAAAGCAAGAGCATCTTTAAAAATTCTACTCCACTAAATGCAAGGTACGTTTCTAACTCTTCTGTACATCCCCATTGTTTGTATTATGACATGGTCCATTTCTACTCCTTCTATATCAGTAACTGTCTTGTTTAGAGCAGAATTTTCCCTTGGATACCCACTGACTTGGAATCTGCATACTTGGGGGAAATATGCTGAAGAAACACAAAATGAATTATCCCTTCCTCAAGAGAAAGGCCCTGGAGTATTAAGCCTGTCCAAGGAAAATACAAACCGCATCTCTCTGGCTTTGTGGTTAGATCACATTTGCTGGATGGGTACTATGGGGAGAAGACACTGGATTGAAAAAACCAATTGCAGGGCGCCTGGGTGGCTCAGCTGGTTAAGCGACTGCCTTCGGCTCAGGTCATGATCCTGGAGTCCCTGGATCGAGTCCCACATCGGGCTCCCTGCTCGGCAGGGAGTCTGCTTCTCCCTCTGACCCTCCCCCCTCTCCTGCTCTCTCTCTCTCATTCTCTCTCTCTCAAATAAATAAATAAAATCTTTAAAAAAAAAAAAAAAACCAATTGCATTCAGTTGGGCCTGACCTAATCAGACAGGTCCTTTAAAAGAGAATCTAGTGGTCAGAGACTCAATGAAGTAGACACTCTCTCTCCATTTCTGCCTTGAGGAAGCAAGGATCATGTGTTCTACAGCTGCAATCCTGCCAATAACATGAGGGAGTTTGGAAGAAGATCCTTCCCCAGTCAAGCCTTCAGATGAGAATGCTGCCTGGCCCACACCCTGATCTCAGCTTTGTGAGACCCTGAGCAGAGGACCCAGCTAAGTTGTGCCCACACTCTATACCCATGAAAACTGAGAGAGTAAATGTGTGTTATTTCAAGCCACTGAATTTGTGGTAATTTGTTATGCAGCAATAGAAAACTAATATGATGGTAGATTAGACAGGACTATCTTATGATGTGCTCTTGGAGAAGGAAGACTTTTCACACTGAGGCTTTCAACTAGCATTTCTGGACAATGGGATCCATGCTGGGTATTCTGTATGCTCTCTGTGAAATCCAGGCAAAGTTTATACATAATATATGAGGTCTCCCTGCCCACTTCCTGGCTGTCAGCCAGGTGCCCCTCTGTCAGAATGTTTAAAACTATAACAGAAAAGCCCCTTCAGGTGACTTAAACAACAAATATATTAATTACCTCACCGAACAAGAAGGAGCTCACCAACATCATTGAAGATCCAGGATTTGTTTTGTTTTGTTTTAGTTCTCCATCTCCTTTTCCTCAAGATTCTGGCTTGTACAATCTTAGCTGGCTTTCCTCATAGTCACAAGAAAGCTGCCACTGTTCTAGGCACATCTTCACAGTACTGTCTAGGGGAGAAACAACAACTGGTTCTTTCCATGTGTCTTTTTTATTATTATTATTATTAGTGAGAGGGAAAAAAATCTTTCCCAGAAACACTTCGTAGACTTCCCCTAATGTCATATTAACCAGAACTGTATCTCAGGCTTGTGTCTAAACCAGTCCCTGGGCCAGTGTTGGGGGTTTATCTTCCCTGAAGCACATGGCTTCAGGAGAGCAGAGACTTGAACAAAAGTGGGTTCTACCAAAAGGAGGAAGGGGAATGAAGAGCAGCTGAAAAGGCAGGCCATCCACTAACAGTATCAATCACTGTTGTAATTAAAGATGGTAGTAATGATTGTCTCCGGATTGGGCCACAGAAACAATCTCACAGATGATATGCAGTTACAAATTGGGACAAACACCATGACCAGGGACGCCTGTCTGGCTCAGTCGGTAGAACATGCAACTCTTGATCTCAGGGTCATGAGTTCAGACCCCACATTGGGTGTAGAGCTTACTTAAAAAACAAAGAAACAAAAACAAAACCACACCATGACCAGAGAGAACCGATGGCTGTGAGACATCGTAGGGTGATCATAGCGAGGTCACGGTCAAGAAAGGCCATTCAGAGGAAGTGAAAGATGAATAAGAACCAGCAGGCAGAGGGTTGGGGGGTTGGGAGAAGAACATTCCAGGCAGAGGGAATGGGCCTGGCTCATTGGAGAACCCAGGAAGGAAATGGGGCTGGGGGAGAGGACGGGAGGAGGAAAAATGGCACAGAAAGGGCATGCGGCAACCTGTGGAGTCCTGTCTGCAGCATGAGACGGAGTCTGCTTTGTCTTCTAAGAGCAACCCGAAGGCTCTTGAAGGTTTCAAAACAGGCGCGTGATCCAACTTGTGTTTTAAAACCCCAGTCTGGCTGCAGGATGCAGAATGGATAGAGGGGACGAGGCGGGAGAAGAGTGACAGTGGCTTGGCAACTGGAGGGTGGAGGAAAAGAGGACAGAGCTGAGTATGACAGCATTGCTGGGGTTCTGGGTCTACAAGGATGGGGCAGTCCCAGGACCTCCCCCCAGAAGTGTACGGTCTGTTCGAGGGGCTAAGATGCACCTGCACACACAGAACTCTACTTTGGGGGAGAGTGATGAAGCGCCCCATGGGAGAAGAAGGCGAGATCACAGTTTGGGGGCTTTCACGTGAGCCCGATTTCCCGGTGGCTTCTGAAGGCAGGTGATCTTGGAGCGGGTGCTATGCAAGGTGGGTTTGAAGGTGCAGACATGAAAAGGGCAGCCCAGGGAGAGGAAGCAGCTTGGGCCAAAGCAAAGAGGCCGGAAATGCAGACGTAGAGGGAGGGGAACAGGGAATAGAGTTTGCAGGGCTTTGTGAAGGGACAATCCAGAAAATAAGGCTAGAAAAGCCATGGGGGTCAGCTCAAGGAGAGTTCTGTGTGGCCAGCTAGGATGATAAAATAAAAAAATAAGGAACAACAATAGCAGTTTAAATAAAAATCTAGCTTAGCTCCAAAACCACTTGGTTTTCCTAGGAATAGTCAGCATGCTAATCAAGTTTTTATTATTTATTTATTTATTTATTTTTAAAGATTTTATTTTATTTCTTGAGAGAGAGAGAGTGAGAGAGAGAGAGCGCGTGAGGGGGGGGAGGGTCAGAGGGAGAAGCAGACTCCTCGCTGAGCAGGGAGCCGAATGCGGGACGTGATCCCGGGACTCCAGGATCATGACCTGAGCCGAAGGCAGTCGCTTAACCAACTGAGCCACCCAGGCCCCCAAGTTTTGATTATTTATTCACTGGATGGAGTCACAGTATCACTTTCTAGCATCACTGTCACCTGTGGGTCACTTGCCAATGATTTCTAACTTCTTTTTGGGATAGCCCTTCACCATTTATTGAGTATTGGTTCTGGGGATCCTAGAACGAGAGGACATGGGCCCGGCTCTCAGGGGATCTAAGAGTTGAGCAGATGAAGAAATAAATTGCCACAAATACAACCTAAGTGTTAGGGAAGAGGTGGCCCAAAGGAGGGAAAAAGTCTCCCCAGTGGCTGGAGCATGGCGCTAGGTTTCAGAGAGGCGGGGACATTTCCCTGGGCCTTAAGGATGCGGACGGGTTTGCCAGGCAAAGAAGCAAGGCGGGAAGGGCTTCCAAACACAGGGGATGGATGATCTGTGTAGACACATGCGCATCTTCTCGATTCTCACACCTTCGGGCCTATAAGCCCTATGGCATGTATATTTTTAAAATTTATTTTCAGGCTATTTGGGGATGTTTGGTGATAACCGGTGAGTTCTTTCAGTTGCTACAGAATAAAAATTGATCCTCGTCAACACGCATTTTAACTAATATTAACAAGAAGTCAGGAATTTGAGTAAGTCAAACTGGTGACACCCTCTGCTTCCCATTACTGGTCGGGAAGGTTTCACTGATTCTTCCTTTTCCAGGGCAGCAAGGAAAGGAGCCTTAAATCCGTTTTTGTGGAGACTAGGACATGCATTGGTTATCACGAGATGCTTCCTATCTTCAGTGTCTCAGAGAAGGTCAGGAGAAGTCCTAATTCACCGTCATATCTGCCTCCTAATTTTGATGTTTGCAGGACATTGGTCGCCTCTGAGCTTCCTAAGTGTTCATAAAAGTTATCTCAGTTCCAGGTGGACACCCAAGACCATCCTGTATCAGCAATGTGTTAATTGTTCATTTTACCTCCAGATTAAAAAAACAATTCCATCCAGATAGTCTATGAGGTAATGAGAAAGTGAGCAGGGAATTCATGTAAGACTGGAAAGAACTAGCCTCTCCTCCAACACCATCACTTAATGAGGGTGTGGAAATGGAGGCCCAAGAAGGCGCATCCATCCACCTGCTGAGACCTGAGGGGCAGAGACCTGACCAAAAGCTGCCCCAAAGCGGGGGGTGGGGTGGGGTGGAAGTCAGAGGACAGCTGGGTGACAGAGCAGAAGCGTTTTGGGGAAGTGACCCATCCAGACAGCATCTGATGTACTTCCTCCTCCCACACTCCGCCCCCCAGCCGCCTGCCCTCTCTGTCTCTTTCCTTTTCTCTCTCACGGTAGGGTTGTGCAGTTGCCAAAAGGTGGGGACATTTCCTGAGCCTTTGCAACACTGAGAAGTTATCTTAAGGGAAGTTGGACCCCACTCTGAGCACCACGCTTGGAAAGTGCAGGCCCAGCTGGGCACAGCCCTGCCGAGGGAGACACCTGCTCGCCCTCCCCCTGGGTCCTGGCAGCCTCCCGGCCCCCAAGCGTGCGCCTGACCATGTCCCTGGCCGAGGCCATCAGCCTCTGGAATGAAGGGGTGCTGGCAGCCGACAAGAAGGACTGGAAGGAAGCCCTGGATGCCTTCACTGCGGTCCAGGACCCCCACTCCAGGATTTGCTTCAACATCGGCTGCATGCACACAATCCTGGAAAACATGCCTGAGGCGGAGAAGGTGAGTGGAGGTGCCTCTCCCTGGAGCCTCCTCCTCTATGCTTTGGTCATTAGTGGGTCTCCACCCAGGCTGTGCTTTAGAAACCTCTCCCGAGCATTCAAAGAACAAATTTGCCCAGGCCCCACCCCCAGGGATCCTGATTGAATTGGCTTGGGGAGGGGCCTGAGCAGCCCTCAGTTTTTACAAGTTCCCCAGGTGGTTCTGGGGCCACTGGCTGGGAACCATGTGCTCTTTTCTTCTCCATCTATTCAATTCAAATCATTCTGGAATCGTTCTTTAGCACCTTTATGAAGACTTCCCTCGTTATGCTTTCTTCTCTGAACTCCTGCTGGCTACAGGAGCTCCATCTCACTGCTGCACACCTATTAGAAAGCCCCTTTTTGGGGGCGCATGGGTGGCTCAGTC